CCCCTCCCCCCCCCCCCCCTGGGGGGGATCTTCCAGAAAGGGAGAGGGAGCCTCTCCTGCCATCCACGCGTGCTGGGGGGGGGCTCCCTCGGGTGGGGTGTGAACTGGCCGGCCGGCCCTTTTGTCTCCCCAGCTGCCACCCGCTCTCGGGGGAATGCACCTGCCAGCCAGGCTGGGCTGGCCTCTCCTGCAACGAGACCTGCCCCCCGGGGTATCACGGCCTCGGGTGCCGGGACCCCTGCCTGTGTCTGAACGGGGGGCGGTGCGACGGCGTGACGGGGCTCTGCCGTTGCCCCGCTGGCTACACAGTGAGTGCGTGTGCGCCTCCCCTGGGCAGGCACTTTGTGTCCCATGGGGGGGCTGGCGGGGGGGACTAGCTCCTTGTGCGGAAGTGGCTCCTGCCCAGTCCTTTGGCCGCTCGTTCCGAGAGTAGGAGGCGAGTCCCAGAGAGGACCTGCGCCCGTGCCCGCGAGCGTCCTAGCCGTGTGCCTCCAGCGTGCCGCGACCTCCCGTCGCATGGGGTCTGCTCTGGGCCAGGTGGGGTAGAGAACGAGGCAGGCTGCCTGCCTGCTTGTCTGCCTCCGTGCGGGGCACCCTGCTCCCATCCTCTAGCGTCGGGAAGGGGGGCAGAGGGAAGTGGGTGGGACGGCCGTGCCCCCTTGCGCCAGACCCCCACATACCTCCCCTCCTGCAGGACAAGCACTGCGCCAGCCCCTGCCCTCCCGATTCCTACGGCCCGAACTGCTCGCTGCGCTGCGCCTGCCGCCAGGCCTTGGGCTGCTCCCCCGTGGATGGGCGGTGTCTCTGCAAGGAAGGTAGAACCGCCAGGGGCAGGGGCAGGGGCGGGCGGGCATGGGGTTGCCAGCGGGGCGGGGGGCATTGCAGCAGTTCACGAGGCAAAAATGACCCTACATTTGGCCCATTTGGGGTTGGAGAAGGGTGGTTGCAGGAACCCTTTTGCGTCTGAGCCCTTAGACCTGGAAATGAGGAACATGCTTTTGCCGTAAAATTGCAAAACAAACTTAGCATTTTTATTCTTCTTCTTACTTTGTTTGAAAAACTGTTTTGAGTCCTCATTCTGGCTGTACCAGAAGGGTACCAGAAGTGTGGGAGCGTTGGGCTGCGATGAGAAAACACTGCCCTTTTTGAATCCCCTCCCCAGACGTCCGGGGGGCGGCTGGAGGTGGCATTGCCCACCAGGGGCACAGAGCCGCCAGCCGGCCGTCTCCCTTCCTCGATCTTCTGGCCTTGCTGGGCCTACCCAGGGCTCCCTTTCCTCCTTCCTCTTCCCTGCAGGCTGGCAAGGGGCCGACTGCTCCCTCCCGTGCCCGGCCGGCACCTGGGGCTTTGGCTGCAACGAGAGCTGTGCCTGCGC